GGATAAAACAAAGTAAATTTCTCCTCACATTTAAACATTGACTGTAAACTCGTTATAAACACTTCTAAATATTTAATGAGAACTACAAGCTTAACATATCTGATCCAAAAATGCCTTAAACACCTCAGTCCAGACACCCACACACTGAGGATGATTCCCTCAAACTGGTTCTGAAAGTAGTAGCCCTGCTTTTCTCTAGCCCGTTCTTATTCTTTCTCAGACGTGCTCTTAGCACCCTCCTGGGGATTAGCATCCGACCCACATCACTCGGGAAAAGCCCTGGCCGGCGGCTCCCAGGCGGGGGCACCACACTGAGGCCAAGTGCCGCTGCCCAGTGAGCCTGACTGCCCCCTCGAGCTCTTTCCCTTCACATTTACTTATTTTTTAAATTGACATATAAAATTGACATATTTATTGTGTAATGTTCTTACCACAAAAATTAGAACTATGTCAGGTGATGTATTTGCTAATTAGCTAGACTTAACCAGACCTTTAGTTTTCAGTTTTTAACATTGAGTTAAAATACACGTAAATCAAATTTCCCATCGTAGCCCTTTGTAAGTGTACATTTCAGTGGCATGAAGTCCATCCACATGACTGTGCAGCCATCTCCACCATCCATCTCAGAACTCTTCATCTCAGAAACCTGAAACTCTGTCCCCATTAAACAAGAAGTCCCCATTCCCCTCCGCTGGCAGCCAGCATTCTGCTCTGTCTCTATGAATCTGACTACTCTAGGCCCCTCATGTAAGTGGAATCACACAGCATTTGTCTTTTTGTGGCTGGCTTAGTTCACTGAGTGTGAGGACCTCAAGGTTCATCGTGTTGTAGCCTGTGTTGGAACTCCTTCGCTTTATAAGGCGGAACACTATTCTGTTGTATGTCTGTACCGCATTTTGTTGATTCATTCATCTGTCAGTGGACACTTGGGTTGCTCCCACCTGTTGACTGCTGTGAGTAATGCTGCTATGAACGTGGGTATAGAAATATCTTTGGCCGGGCGCGGTGGCTCAAGCCTGTAATCCCAGCACTTTGGGAGGCCGAGATGGGCGGATCACGAGGTCAGGAGATCGAGACCATCCTGGCGTCTCTACTGAAAAAATACAAAAAACTAGCCGGGCGAGGTGGCGGGCGCCTGTAGTCCCAGCTACTCCGGAGGCTGAGGCAGGAGAATGGCGTGAACCCGGGAGGCGGAGCTTGCAGTGAGCTGACATCCGGCCACTGCACTCCAGCCTGGGCGACGGCGCGAGACTCCGTCTCAAAAAAAAAAAAAAAAGAAAGAAATATCTTTGCAGCCCTGCTTTCGGTTCTCTTGGGTGTTCTGTCACAAGAGGAACTGCTGGCTCATATGGTAATTCTATGTCTAAGATTTTGAGAAATGACCACACTGTTTTCCATAGTTGCTACTCCATTTTTACATTCCCACCAACCGTGCACAAAGGTTCAGATTTCTCCACACATTTGTTTTCTGTTTTGTTTTTATTTTTGGTGTACCCATCCTCATGGGTGTAAGGCAGTATCTATCTCATTATAATTCTGACTCGCATTTCCCTAATGAATAGTGATGCTGTGCCTACTGGCTACTCATACATCTTCTTTGGAGAAATGTCTACTTATTTGTCTATTTTCTTTTAATTTTTAATTTTTAGAGACAGGGTATCACTATGTTGTCCAGGCTGGACTCCAACTCCTGTATTAAGTGATCCTTTTGCCTCAGCCTCCTGAATAGCTGGGTACATACCACAGCACCCAGGATGGCTCATTTTTGAATCAGCTTTTTTGTTGTTGTTGAGTTTTAGGAGTTCCCTATATATTGTGGATATTAATCCCTTATCAGATATATGGTTTGAAAGATTTTCTCTGTAGGCTGCTTTTTTACTCTGTTGATGGTGTCTTTTGATGCATATAACTTTTAAATTTTCATGAAGCCCAGTTTGTCTATTTTTTTTCTTTTGTGACATGCGCCTTTGGTGCCATATCCAAGAATTTATTGCTAAATCCAATGTCATGAAGCTTTTGGCCTATGTTTTCTTCTAAGGGTTTTATGGTTTTAGGTCTTAATTTAGCTCTATTGTGAGTTTATAGGGTATGAGGTGGAGGATCAAACTTCATTCTTTTGCACGTGTAAATCCAGTTTTCCCAACATCATTTGTTAAAAAAACAGTCTTTTCCCCCATTGAATGGTCACCATATTAAAAATCATTTGGGGCCAGGCGCAGTGGCTCACGCCTGTAATCCCAGCACTTTGGGAGGCCCAGGCAGGCAGATCACGAGGTCAGGAGATCGAGACCATCCTGGCTAACATGGTGAAACCCTATCTCTACTAAAAACACAAAAAAATTAGCCAGGCGTGGTGGCGGGCGCCTGTAGTCCCAGCTACTCGGGAGGCTGAGGCAGGAGAATGGTGTGAACCTGGGAGGCAGAGCTTACAGTGAGCCGAGATTGCACCACTGCACTCCAGCCTGGGCAACAGAGCGAGACTCTGTCTCAAAATAAATAAATAAATAAAATAAAAAATAAAATAAAATCATTTGGCTAGCCAGGTGCAGTGGCATGTATCCATAGTCCCAGCTACTTGGGAGGCAGAGGTGGGAGAACTGCTTGAGGCCAGGAGTTCAAGACCAAACTGGGCAACACAGTGAGACCCTGTTTCTAATTAAGAAAAATATCACTGGATCATATACAGGATGGTTTATTTCTAGGCTGTCTATTCTATTACATTGGTCTTTACATCTGCCTTTATGCCAGTACTACACTGTTTTGATTACTATAGCTTTGTAATAAGTTTTGAAACCAGGAAGTATGAATCCTCCAACTTTATTCATTTTAAGATTGTTTTAGCTATTAGGGGGTCCTTGAGAGTCCGTATGAATTTCAGAATGGCTTTTTCTATTTCCACAAAAAATGTCATTGGGATTTTTGAAGGGAATGCATTGAATCTGTAGATTCCTTTGGGTACTATGCATATCTTAACAATATTAAGTTTTCCAATCCATGAACATGGGATGTATATCCGTTTATTTATGTTTTAATTTCTTTCATCAGTGTTTTACAGATTTCAGTGTACAAGTCTTTCACCTCCCTGGTTAAGCTAATTCTTAAGTATTTTATTATTTTTAATGCTGAGTGTCTTTTGATAACAAAACCTTCTGTTACGTTGAGGAACTCTTAGCCCATCTTTTGTATTTGCTTTCAGTTTGTGACACTTTGGTATCTCTTCCCGAGATGAGCGATTCTTTGGGTTTCACGGATGGGAGAGCCCATTGCATTGTCCTTTCATTTGGAGATATTGCCTGGTGTGTTGGGACAAGGAAGGACTAACCTTCCTTGTCAGTGTCTTATCACATCCGCAGGGCTGAGTGACAGGGTGGTCCTGGGCAGGCTTCCTGTGGCTTTGCAAACTGAGTGGGTGCACACTGGACTTTTCCCACCTACTGATGGTGTGTGAGGTCGATGTTACTGGGGCCTCAGCTGTCTGTGTTCACTCTTTCTTGCTACACAAAGAGAAACAAGGACAAGCCTTATTTGATAAAGGCCACAAACACTTTGACCTTCCTCCACCCAGTGTGGGGATCTGTGTCCCTTCTCCTTGACTCCAGGGCTGGTCACAGAAGGCTCTGGGCTCCAGCCTGGCTTGCTGGATGTGCTCTTGAAGCTCCCAAGTAAGAAGTCTGAGTCCCTGAGACCACTACACTGTAAGGACAGTTGAAGGCGCTCAGGTTGATGGTCCCCACTGTGCCCAGCCCCTGAATGGAGCCAAGGCTCCAAGCACTTGAGTGAAGAGGCTGTGGTGGAAGCGGATCCTCCAGCCCTGGCCATCACCCCATGGAGTAGACAAACCGCTCAGCCCAGCCTCTCCCAAATTCCCGACCCACAGAGCCCACGTGCACAGCATGGCTGTTATGCTGCTCTGTTTGAGGTGGTTTATTAATGTAGCAAGAGATAATGGCACCAGGATGAACTCGATTTCTCAACACCCCACAGTTTACAGGTTTCAGAATCCAAGTCAGGAGGTCAAGTGTGCGTGCAAGAGGTGGCAGAAGACAGATGTGCTGCTGTTCCCAGGCCACCTGCACAGCTGGATGGTGGAAGCTTGAGGTACTCGGGAGGCTGAGACAAGTCTCATTTTATTCCATTTTCAAGAACAGAATAAAGCAAAAGAACATATGCAGTGCTTCCTTACAATGTTATCCTGTAGTCAGCTTTAATGATTTCTCTTTGAGCCTATTAGTTGGAGGCTGCAGTAAGCTATGATCATGCCACTGCACTCCATCCAGTGGGTGACAGAGTGAGAACCCCACTGTCCCTGGTCTCTTAAAACAAAACAAAACCAAAAAACAAAACAAAACAAAACAAAATAACAGGCTGAGCACCTCCTACTAATTTCCTCGGCTTAGCACACCCTGTGGCCGTCGTCCCCATCGTCCGTGGCTTCATCCCTCACTTGATGCTTTCCTATGTGGACTTCCTGGCCAGTGCTGTGGGACCTCCCCCGTAGAGTTGGCCAGCCTCATGGGCTGGGCTACCCGTCCCACTCAGCAGTGGCTGCCTGGCCTCCCCTCTGTCTCTCCTGCCCAGCTCCTAATGGGCCTCCCGTAAAAGCTGATGCGTGGGGGCCAAGCCACACCTCGCTGACCTGGGGAAGCTGACAGAGTGACAGGGGGTCTCAGGGACCCTCCACCCACAAGGTGGGAAGGGGGATTGCTGGCAAATCTGGCATAGAGGTTGAGACCCCGAGGAGAGGCAGGCCTGGGGGATCTTGCAGCAGCTGTGTCCGCCTAGGACCACAGAGCTGGTGGGGCTGGCGGGGCTGGCGGCTTGGTAGAGGGCAGGTGCACGGCAAAGTTTTCACCGGTGCCGGCTTGTCGTCTTCCACGCTGGGATTTCGCATGAAGTTCTAGCTAATTGAGTATAAGCGTTTCTGAAGAACCCCCGGAGGGTTGTTTTTCTTTGTGCAAACAGTCCTTTTGTGCAGAGGGTGTTCTGTGACTTCTTGGCAGAGACACAGGTGGGAAACACCTGATTGAACATCATTGCCTGGGGAGTGGAGACACGCACAGCACGTCAACACGGAGCGCCCAGCAGCGGCGGCGGGTCCTGGGCTGTACTCTGGAGCCCTTCCTGGGATCATCTCCCGGCATCGGCTGACCCCTCAGTGTCTACGTGCTGAGCCCAATCTGCCTGCAGGGACGCCCGCTGCCAGAGGCAGAGGCAGGTTCTCCTGGTCCCAGAGCCGGGGCTGTCTGTTAGCCTGCCAGTAACACGCAGGGAGGAAGGAAAAGGCTCCAGGCACAGCTGCTTGTCCAAGAGGGACCCTGTTGGCGGCGCATTGCTGGGTGAGTGCTGCCCGCCTGTGAATGGGGTGCTGGCCGAACCTACCTCATAAACTGGGGCTGCACAGAGGTCACATGGTGGCACCCACCATCAAGAGGGGAGGCCCCTTGGCACTGGAGGCAGGACGCAGGGCCTCACCAGACAGACGTGCCAGGGCCCGTGTCCCTGCACACAGCTGCCTGCCGGCCAGTGGAGTGAGACCTGCTGCCCCTCTGATAGCTCCTGGTAATCAGAGGGGCTCACTCCACCTGCACCAGAGGCAGTGGCTGGGGATGCTGGAGCACGCGGCTCCAGCCACTCAGGATCCCACTCTGGGTCATGAAAGTAACTCCACGGAACACCCCAAGGCCACCCCTGCTGGCTGTGAAGACACCACCATGCGGACAGTGCCCAGGGCTGGGGCTCACAGCCACAAGAATCTGGATTTGAACAGAAAAGGACCCCAGCCCTGCTGCCACCCTGACACAGCCTTGCGGGGCCCTGAGCAGAGGACCAGCTGCATTGTGCCCACGCCCCGACACATGGAAAGCCTTCCAATAAGAACAGGATGAAGGCCGGGCGCGGTGGCTCAGTCCTGTAATCCCAGCACTTTGGGAGGCCGAGGCGGGCGGATCACGAGGTCAGGAG